GAAGGATCAAACTTAACATAACATAAGACTGTGGAATGATTTGAAGAGTGATGTTAAAAATGCAGGATCATTGTGTACATTTAAGAAAATGATAAAGGTTCGATTGTTAAAAAATATGAAACAGTATAAAATGCACTTATATTAACTGTTATTTTAGAGGGATTAGATGTTCTTGTCTTTTGTTTTGTTAATGATATAGATTTTTTTGTTGTGTGAATGTATTCTTGGGAGAAAAGGAGCAGATATAAGATTTTTTTCTTCTCTCTGCTACCTTTCATTTCATTTGTGATTTTGATACACATTGTATATTGTTTTTCTAATTTTTCTTTTTTTATATATAAAAACACACTGTGAGCATAAACAGGCTGACGCTGCAAAACAGTCCTCAGCAAACTACAGTGTTAGAATGTAATCCACTTTGCTGAGACAATAAAGTAATCATGGCGAGATAATGTCATGCTGATTATAGAGCAATCGGTAGTGTAAGAGTCAACAAACACTACGAAGGCAGCTGCCAGCGCTTGTGTTAGCTTAGCTCTTAAAGAGGACGTACCATGACAGCGACCCTCCTGACCCCGTCTTCAGCCTCCTCGTGCTCACGAACACCCTGGGTGAGGTTGGTGTAGTTGGCCAGCTTGTTGAGGAGAGAGGAAACCATGGGTGTACTGTCCATTTCCTCCTAAACACAAAGCAAATAAATAATCAACGTAATTAATAATTCAAAGTGGCACACGTTTAAACTTTTAACAAGATTTAAAAATCTGACTGCATAATTCAGAATATTGTCACCTCAAACAAGGCCATGTTGGTGCCATCATAAGAGGGCTCTCTTTCATTGTCCGAGTTGATGAAGGGACTGGTCTCTTTCTGGCCGTCATCGTCTTGTGAGATACAAACAACAACAAATAAAAAAACAACAACATATGAGTCATTCAGCAGCAGCAAAAAGGTGAGACAGCATGATTAGATAACATCCTGACAGTGGGAAAGGCTTATATTAGCATCAGACTGAATGTGTTCATCTTCATCATCACATATATCATACTGAACAAATGACTAAATAAGTATTTACCAAACATTACATGGACAATAAAGAGATAGGCAGTACTGATGTCAGAAATAGTTCATAATACATTCAAAGTAAATAGTTTGAAAAAAAATGTGTATGTGTCGGGGTGGGATGCTCTAGAATAGAATAGCCTGTATAATAAAACATATTCCTCACAGTAAATAAAGCACATAAATACCAGGAAGACAAAGCAAAAGAGAAAAGGATCAAATCTTTTTTATTATTATTCTTTTGTTCGTTTGTTTTTGTTTGTGTGCGATTGCAGTCCAAATTATGTACTGATTAAAAAAAAGATTGTGACACAAGTTATTCTGTGTCAACCTGCATTGTATTTAATTAAAGCATCCCTGATTTTTTTAATTAACAAAACTAATGTAGAAAGAAGAATGGTGATACCTTTTCCTCACTTTTCATTTTTTATTAAGCCTACAATTAAGTAAGCAAGTAAGTAAGAAAACTTTATTTATGTACCTTTCGCAGACACAAACATCACGAAGTGCTTAACAGAGAGCAAAATAACTAAAAACAATAAAACAGATCACAACAACAATTAATATACAATAAAAAACACATTAACTAAAAGCCTGTCTGAATAAAAATGTCTTAAGACGTTTCTTAAAAGAGTCAGAAGAATCTGAGCAGTGAAGGAAGGGACAGAGGGAGAGCGTTCCAGAGCCTCGGGGCCACCACCTGAAAACTTTGTCTCCACGGGTTTTATAATGGGTTTGAGGGACCACCAGCAGCATTTGACTAGAAGACCTCAAAGTCCTGGATGGACAGAGAGTCTTCAGAAGGTCCAATATGTATTTGGGGGCCTGACCATGAAGTGCTCTGAAAGTTAAAACTAAAATTTTAAAATGACTCCTCAAAGTCACAGGGAGCCAGTGCAGAGAGGCTAGAACAGGTGTAATGTGGGCTCTCCTGTGGGTCTTTGTTATTAACCTCGCTGCAGCGTTCTGCACAGACTGAAGCCGAGYCAAGGAGGATTTGTTTAAACATGCAAAAAGGCTGTTACAATAATCTAAACGAGAAGAAATAAAAGCGTGAACAACCATCWCTAGYTYCTTCTGTGACACAAAACATCTCAGCTTTGAAATGTTCCTTAAATGATAAAAACAGTTACGAACTAAARTTTTACAATGGCTGTCAAAAGACATAGAACTATCAAAGACAACACCCAGATTTCTGACA